ACGAATCCCAAAAGCTTTTATAATAATAAAAGCGTTTTTTTAAATCAGATTCACATAAAATTATTACAGTATAATTTGTTAATCATACTTAGACAAACCAAAATCGCAACATTCATTCATATAAAATTATATAACAAACAGAATAAATAAACATTGCTTAGTGATTGGATAAAACCAACGCCAATCCATTCAATGGAATTTTATTATTAATATATTTTTTCGTTAATGCCTGAAGTTGGTGGATAATGGAATCTACTTTTTTATGCCTTGAAAACGTTTTTTTATAGGCTCTGATGATGGCAATAACCAATGACATTGACTTATAAGTTTCTTATGCTCAAGTTTTTTAGTTTTAGTTATTAAGATGATTTAAAAAGAAAGTTAAATGAAAAGCTTTGAAAAAAATACATTTTTAAAATAATCCTTTAAAATTGAATCCATACTTAATAGTTAATATACAATAAATAGAATTTAATTATAGTTTAATAAAAATAACCAACAGTTTATTTTAATTGTATAAACTTGTTATTTGACATTTCGCATGCGGTTGAGTGGTGTAATGGTTAGCACTCAAGACTCTGAATCTTGCAATCCGAGTTCGATTCTCGGCTCGACCTGTATTTTTGCTTTTTTAATTTTATTGATTCATCTCAAGCTGAGTTGCAAAATATTTTTTCTGAAATCGAATAAGCGGTAGTGACAGATTCCATCTGATTTCTTTTTTTTTGTTACCGCGTTTTTTGTTCACATTTTTATGTTTTTTGTCGTGCTATGTTGATACCAGCAAACTATATTCAATCGAGGTAAAAAAAAAAAAATAATGAATTTGCTGAGGGAAGGGGCAACAAATGGGTCATTGGGGAAGAAATTGGAACAAAGTTGGGTTTATTTCAAGTTTGATAGTATTCAAATCCTTGGAAATAAATAATATTCCCATGACAAATTAAATGACTGCAATCAGTAAACCTGAAATATGCCACAAAAATTAAGAAGGGTGGGCAGAAAAATATGAAGTTTTAAGGCGCATTCTTAATTATAGCCGCTTAAGTAAGCTTTTTCCCAAATAAGATGTTTATTTCTTTATAACTCTTGCCAACACAAAGGTGAAACACAAATTATAACTTGGTTCCAATAACTTTGTTTGTTCGAAGTATCTAAAATTTTAGTAATGGCTGATCCGCTAGAAAAGTGGCTCGGAAAAAAATATAAAAAATAAAAAACACTCGCAATATAGATTCGTATGACGTCACAGGGATATATCTTAAAACAACCATAATAGCACTTTGACACATATTCTCTTTTGTAGAGTGTTAGGTTCAGTATAATATTCCAAATATGCACTAGCGGTAAAAGAAGTGCCGCGCTGTGATTTATTTAAAATGACAACAGCAAGTTAGTGAAATTTTAAAATTGCTCCAGACAAAATTTAAAAAATAATAATTTATAGTCAGCTGCAAAAAACGAATGTTCTAACCATAAACTCGATTACTGTAAAAATATTTTTTAATTTAGTGATTTTACAAATAAAATTTCTTTGATATTCAGATATGTTCTAGAAATATAGTAATTACACGAGTTTGCGGCAAAATAAAGGAAACAACCAGATTCCTCTCGGAAAGCGCTTACCTTTGGTTCTATCTCTAATTTTTTTTTAAATAAAAGTACAAAAAATGTTCATTATCTCGTTTTCCTCTCTACCTGTTTTTTTATTTTTATTTTTTCCCTTCTATCCCTTCTGTTTTATTATGGGTTACATTAATATTGAACAAAATGGCTGAGAATTTGGCGAGTATTTGGCCTTTGGTTAATGGTTATACACTCTCCGTCAGCCTGCAGATTTTGAGGTTGGTATTCCAGAAAGGGCTCCGATTTTCAGCTTGGGTTGTAGTCCTGACAGAACTGTGTGAAAGGTTCACATTTTATGGGGCTTCAAATATGTTTACCAAGTACATGATGAACGAGCTTGGTAAAAGCAGCAGAAATGCAACTTCAATAAACAGAGGATTTGCGTTTTTGTCTTATGGAACTACCCTTCTGGGAGATACCTTTGTAATTTGTATCTAGGGAAATATATAACAATCACATCATTTGGTTTATGATATTTTATAGGGACCATATTGCTGACACTCTCTGGAATATCACAGTGGGGAATAGATAAACGGTTTTATCTTTTTATGGTTGTATCATACATGTTTATATTGTTTGAAACTGGTACTACCAAAGCCAACGTGTCTACTGTCATAGCTGAACAGGCTAATATTGGATACAGACCAACAAATATACCAAGAATATACTATGACTCAAGGACTACTATAAAAGATGCTACAAGTACTTCTACTGGGCTATCAATGTTGGTGCTTTTGCGGGATGTTAGTTTGCCCGGTCGTTGCTGACAATAACTGATATGATTTTGCTTACTTCATCCCTACTTGATTGATGACTGCTTGTCTCTTGATTTTTGTTCCCAGATATAAATTTTAACATCATAAAAAACCATCCGGATCTGTTCTTGGTAAGATTATTATGACCATGAAATATACTAGAAAGAATAAATCGCCACACAACGAGGTTTGGCTTGATGCAGCCAAAGGATTGACTAATGTCGAGTGGGATGATGTCTTTATTGAAGGCCTTAAACACTCTATCAGAGCCTACAGAGTATTTTTGTTCTATCCATTCTACTGGGCTTTGTACAACAACATGTCCGACAACTTTATTACTCGAGGACTAAGAATGAGACGACCCAAATAGGTTAAAGCTAACCAGCTTAGCCTTGTTAACAGTTTGGCACTAATAGTCTTTATTCTGATCTTTCATAATTTCATTTTTCCTTTTTATAGTGAGAAGAGGAATGAAACTAGATTCAATTAAACGTATAATCATAGGGTTTATAATTGTAGTTATGTGCTTTATCTACATCTGTATTTTAAAGAAATTGGTTTATATCTCTCCACCGCACTATTATTTTACCGAGCTTGAGGTTTCTGCTGGCCACTTTAATGATATTAATATCCGGCTTCAAACCCCGTATACCTTATTGTTGGTATTTCTGAGATCTTTGCATCAGTCGCAGAACTTGAATATGCCTTTTCACAAGTGCCGACTGAGCTCAAATCTATGCCGCAAGCCTTGTCCTTGTTCACTAACACCAATCGTCCTTTAATAGGATTTATTCTGTCTATCTGGAGTTTCAATCCTGCATTACTAGGCGAATTTGTCGCTCAAACTTGTATCCTTGCTGTAGTGGCTTTATCTTTTAATTCCTTTTTAGACACTATGATGCAGAGGTTATCGCACAAGAAACATATGAATAATCCCTCTTACCTCTTTTTTTTTTTGATTAAAATAATAATGGTTAGATTAATACATTATTGATTTGTTTAGCCATAAAGGATTCACTGTATTTGATTTTAGCACTCCATTTCAGCCGATCTTTTCCATTTCAGGCTAATTTTTTAGCTATAAATCTAATAAAATATTTTTAAAAAAAACCTTTTCAATGTTTTTCCTTTATATTTTGTCATTAATTTTTTTTTTTAAAAAAAATCAGGCAATGGTGGAAAGACTTCAAATTATAACAAAAAAAGTCAATATCCCGTCTTCTGTTATCCTCATACCCTCGTTGTTACTTTAAAATTGTTACTTTATATAAATAAAATGTAGTTAAAACTATATCATAAATTTCATATCATTTCAAAAAATTATAAATATACGAGTTTTGGAATATTTCCTAGTCAAAAAAAATACTGGGGCTAAAATAGAACTGTTTTCATTTTTTACTTTTGTGCTACAATCGAACAGCTTTTTGTACTAGCAGTTCCGCTCAAGGCACACTTTTTGACAGACCTCTGATAAATATAATTTAGATATAGGTTCCTTTGGTATAGCTAAAATGTGTATACCTCTCATAATTTATAATATAATTTATAATTGAGATTGAGCTTGTTCTAACTGTACCAGAGTATTTTGCTAATTTGCCCTAACCAACCCCCCCCCCCGCCCCAATAAACACGGGGCTTCCTTTGTGTAAACTTTGCTAAATCCAATTTATATTTGCAAAATCCGCAGCTAAGTTAATCAGATTATAATTAAAGATTGATGCAAGAGTATATTTAACAGGCTATCTTTTTTTTAGAAAAAAAAGTAAAAAGTTGCATATAGAACGCTAAAAAGAATTTTTAGTATTGATTTAACTATAGATTGGAAAATACCAAACAACCATCGTTAATTACTGATTATCAAAAAACATGGTTTGATCTCATCGTATGAAAATGGGACTTAAAATTGACTTTAATTTGTTGAATTTTTTAATACACTCGTATGGTTTTTTGTTTCCAAGCTTTTGAGAAACTAGAATCCAGTCTTCTCCACAGTCACCATACAAACTCAATAGTTTATTTATTTCATCAATTGTCCACGTGGATTTCCGTTCTTTTTTTTCTAATTTTTTATTAGTTTTATTCTCAAGCTGAGAATCAGATTTTTTACCAGCTTTTATATCTCGCCCTTCACTCAAGGAGGTTGTTTCATTGGGGTGTGTGACTTGCTCTTCAATTTCTTTTTTATTTTCTGATGGTTTTTCGTGAATATTATCTTTGTAAACTGTGAACAGCTTGTTAGAAATTTTATGTTCAAGGTATTTTAGAAGATGACTCCAGTTTGTCCCTAACTTGCCTACTGACTGTTCCAAGGATAAAACTTCTTTTTGAACGGAAGGAAAATCTTTAATGTGTATTCTAGAACAGTATTTATGTTTCAAGTACTGCCATCTAGCAATACACTGATAAGGAGCTCTTGTTGCTACTACTCGAGAAATATACTGCGATACCGTTTCATTTCCCAACTGAGGAGAAGGGATTTCATCATCTTTACGTAGCTCTTCTGGACTTAGTTCCACTGAAAGATTTGAAATTATACTTTCTATAAACCTTAGCTCAAATTGAGCACCAATAACTTTAGAGGCGAGTTTGTCAAGTTCAGATGGAGGACTAGTAGTATGTTTGCGTGTAGTTTTGAGTTTAGATACTTTTTTCTTAGTACCCCGAGCTGAGCTTAACTGGCTAATTTCTAAGGGCGATGAGGGCTGTTTAAGCTCTGGAAGTTGATTTAAACTTTCATCTACAACATTTATAAATACTCTGAGATACTTTCTACAAGCCATTGCCAGCATATAAGTTTCTTTAGGAGACCATCTGTAGATATTGTATGGAGTATTATTTTCTTTTTTAGTGTTTAGGAAGCTGCCATTTATAAGTGGTGTTTTTCTCCTCAGAATAACGTTAACTTGAGATTTACTTCGTTGGACGTTAAGATTCTTACACATAATATAGTGAATGTTTGAATCCCGGATTTTAGGAATTCTTTCATAGAAATCTCTAATCTTTCTTTCTTCTGTTTTTGTCAAGCGATTAGGATTATGTCCATTCAAAATGTTCAAGTACTGAAAATGAGAAACACATTGCGAAGGTAAAAATTTTCCGTCAAAAAATTTGGAAATTAGGTCCCAGTTATTTTTATACAACTTTGCCAAAACTAGCAATATTTTTGATTCTTCTTTGGTCCATTTTATCCTGGTTTTATGATCATCTGGTTCTGTATTTAGTATAGAAACCATTTG